GTGACGGCGAGCGCTCGGGGTGTGCGCGGGCAGGTGAGTAGAAGGGTGACACGCCGCCCGTGCGCGAATAGGGACGTGCGTGGGCCGGCTTAGCGTGAGGAGGAATGACTGGTCGGTTGCCGTTCACTGCGGCAGCGTGACGGCGAGCGCTCGGGGTGTGCGCGGGCAGGTGAGTAGAAGGGTGACACGCCGCCCGTGCGCGAATAGGGACGTGCGTGGGCCGGCTTAGCGTGAGGAGGAATGACTGGTCGGTTGCCGTTCAAGTCATATCTAATTAAAAGTATGTGCGGGCGTTTATTTCTGGAAATAATGGCCTGGGGTCGTAACTGGTGTGTGAGCCTTCTGTGCTCTGTGAGCCTTCTGCAGCCGAGTAGAGTCACGGGAGCGGGAATAGCTGCGAGCGTGTTTGTGTCCTGGTACTGATTTGAAAGCAGCCGGCTGTTAAAAGAGGAGTCGGCTGACAACCGAGGGCGAAGGTCTGGGCGATGTCATGGGGTTCTGTTTCCCAACGTGCCCTTCAGTATGACCAAAACTTTCCTCAATGTATCCGGTTAAAAAAACACGAATAGGAAGCACGAAAAGTTGGAGAACTTGTGTTTCTTGTCCCTGCTGATGTTGTTTGTTGTCACACATTGCCTAAGATTGCTTTAAAATTTCAGAGGCAGACACGGCTGGGCACAATCTCAGTGATTCTTTAATTGTGTGCACTGTCTTTAGTCACTAAGTATGTTGTTAATGCAAAATGTGCTTTGAATGTTGTTTTCTTATATGTGTTGTTAGATGATGCTTCGTATGGAATAAGGCAACAAAATCCTCTTTCCCCCTCATCCCTTTTTTTTAAACTGTGTTAGTCTGGATCTTGCAACTACAGTAGGGGTTGTTTAAAAACACCCATAAAACTCGATTTATCTCTAGATTGGTCTTTTTTTCCTGGTTGAAAGTGTTAATATATTGGTATTGAGCTGCATAATATTCTCCAGGGTCCTAGGAATGTGTCATGTCTAGGCTGAATGTCAGATTTTTTTTTTTTCTTAAAATTGGAGTTTATTTATTTTGCATTTTTTGTGAAACATGGCTTTTTCTTTGTGTCTCTACTGCTGTTTACTTGAAAGGCAGATCATGCTGTTGTCTTAGTAGGAACAGCTGTGCTTCATTTAATCAGGTGGCTCCTGAGGTGAATTGGTCAGAGCTGGCTTCGGTTTCTCTGTGTGGTTAGGTTTGCTTTCTGTCTGCAGAACAGCTCGTTGTTCTGTTGCAGCAAATGTAAAACAGCTGGCTATGCCCCTGGGTGAAGTCATCATGAGTTAAAAAGATGCTTAAAGGAAGCCTTTGACTATGTGAGATTGCTGTTCTGTGCGGCAGGGGGGTTGGACTAGATGACCCACAGAGGTCCCTTCCAACCCCGAACATTCTGTGATTCTGTGATTCTGTGAATTGAAGTAAAGTCAAGGTACCTGCATGGGAGATTCAGTTTTTAGGAATAAAATGGCAGGATGGGCATCATCAGATCCCAATGGATGTGACCAACAAAAGAGCAGCTACGTCTCCACCGACCAGCAAGAAGGAAACACAAGCCTTCTTAGGCATTGCGGGTTTTTGGAGAATGCAATGAACAAGTTTCAGTCAGGTTGTAAGCCCTCTCTGTCAAGTGACCCAGGAGAAGTGTGATTTCAAATGGGGCCCTGAGCAACAAGAATCCTTTGAACACACGAAACGGGAGACGGTTCACGCAGTAGCCCTTGGGCCAGCCCGGGCAGGACAAGATGTTCCAAATGTGCTCTGCACCGCAGCCGGGGAGAAAGGCCCTGCCTGGAGTCTCTGGCAGAAAGCACCAGGGGAGACTCGAGGTCGACCCCTGGGGTTTTGGAGCTGGGGATACCGAGGATCCGAGGCTTCCTATACTCCGACTGAAAAAGAGATATTGGCAGCATGTGAAGGAGTTTGAGCTGCTTTGGAAGAGGCTGGCGCTGAAGCACAGCATCCCAACCTCTTAGCACCCCGACAGCCGGTCCTGGTCTGGATGTTGAAAGCGTGCGTCCCCTCTACACACCATGCCACTGATGCTCCATGGAGTAAGTGGGTCGCACTGATCACACAACAGGCTCGAACGGGAAACCGCAGTCGCCAGGAATGGTGGAAGTGATGGTGGACTGTCCAGAAGGCAAAGATTTTGGAATATCGCTGGAGGAGGAGGTGATGCGTGCTGGAGAGGCCCCGCTGCTTGATAAGCAGCCAGCAAATGAGAAGCAACATGCGCTGTTCGCTGATGGGCCCTGACGTGTTGTGGGAAAGCATTTGATTTTAATTGAATCACTGATTAATTGCCACTTGATCATCACTTAATCTTTAATAAAACCCTTTTAGTTAACCCCACAAAGATGACTTCTCTGAAGAATTCATTTGCGACACCAGGACAAAAACTGGACAGTGTCTGAGTAGAAAAGAAGGACTGCGAAATCCACCGTTGCAGAATCCAGGTCCAAAATGCAATTCCGGACCAAGATAGGAACCTGAAAACACAAGAAGCCCTTCTACAATAGTAGCTGGCTGACAGTGCTGAGAGTGACCAGAGGCTTCCCTGGCAGCCTCCTCCAGCTCCTGCTTTTAGAGCGTCCTGAGCCATCCTCTTGTCCCAGCCACCTTGCGAGTCAAGCTCTGGTGCTCAGGGTTTCCTTCTCCCCAGGCTTTCTGGGATTTTGCTCGGCCTTGCGACACCAGGGCGTTACACAGCTCCATTAGCTCGGTGCCGACAGAGGTGAACGGTGCCGGGGCACAAGCTCCTCCGTTCAGAGCAAGGCTGTGCGTGAGCACAGCTCATTGGGCAGCTCCACTTGGCTAGACCTCGCGTCTTCCCAATCGCAGCAGTCAAGAATAGAAGGAGAGAGTGCTGCCACCGAGTTCTCTTTTGGACCCTCTAGACCTCCCTTCTTTCCTCATTGCCTCTTTGCTGGCAGAAAAGCCCATCAGGCCTCCCAGGTTCCTCTGCCTTCTTCAGAGAGGACAGCTGCTCCTGACTTTCAGAAACCAACTTTCCTGCTGCATTAAACCTGCCAGGAAGGCACTTGGTGCATGCACCCTAGGAGCACCTGTGGTTTGCCTGAAGAGCAGAGGGCTGCTCAAACCTGTACGGCCACCCCAGGGGATCTCCTTCGTGCTTTGGTCACCGTTATTCTCCGATTCAGCCTTCTAGCTCTCTGCCAGCTTCCACAGAGCTATTCACCAGTCGCTCTGCGACCAGAGCTCTTCTCCTTCCTGCACCAGGAAGGTACTTGCTGGTCGCCAGCAGGAAGGAAATCCTTTTGGATGGCTGGCATTTCCCAGGCCCCTTGTTACCCTCCTGTAGAGCACAAGTGACTTTTTTGGTCTAAAGGGCATGTGATGGGACTCAAGCCCTCAGGAACAAGTACTGCCCTGACACCCCTGAGCTCTGTGGAGTAAATTCCTTGCCAGATGTTTGCAATCTCCCTTCAAAAGGATTTCTTGGCTTACAGTGCAAGGAGGAAGGCTTCAGTTGGTAGAGCAGCAAGCAGGCTAGGGCACAGGACCCAGAACTGGGGAACGCCCTTTGGCTGCTGCAGAAACAGTGTGCAGGGGCTCTAGCTGAAGAGCCGGCCTGACCCTGGAGAGCCCGGTGAGGACCTGGCAGAGGTGCAAGGGGAGGACGAGCCGTAGGCTTCAAATTAGGCCTCACGGCGGGGCGG